CGGCTCCGCTGATTGGTCGCCGGCCTGGCTGCACCTGCACTCGCCCCCCCATACTACTTGATGTCTGGGGTCGCCACGACCTCAGACCTCAGAATATTCTGTGCTCTCGAAGTTATCACTCCTCCCGGCTAGACGTTAGCGTGTACTGAGAGAGGTGGTAGCTTAAAGCCAATATTCCAGCACCTCCCTTTAATTTTGTGTTGCACTTCTTGTCATTTTATCTTAACGTAACTTTTCCTTGTGTCATTTAATTATTCTTATTATTTTGATTGATTGATTTTATTATAAGAATTTGTTTGTCCATTTTTTCATGTTTTGATTTATTTAACGTAATTAAAATTTCATTGTTAAAATTTACTTGTGTTTTGTGTGTCTTCTCCTTACCTTACCACAGACGAAGTTCCAGTTTTTCTATTTTTTTTTATAACTATGTGACGAGGCCATACCCCTAGCCTTAAACAGCCGAACACCAACGCGTTACCGTCACACAATATTAAGCTTACTCACGTAGGTCACCTCTAGATAAGCTTAGATGTTAACTATTAAAGAGTTAAACTATTATTACTTTCAACCAAATATTAAGATTACTAAATTCACTATCATGAGATTTGTTCTGAACTTCACGTCTCTAATAGCATAAAAAGAATTGACAAGTGAAGAAAAGGTTGTTTATATATCTCAAATACTTTAACAACCACAGCACATTCGGCAGAATTGAATGTCGGGTTGTATTCTGCGTTGTATGTCTGTCTGTCACGTATTTCTGTCGTTCAATCCGTCAATCTCTCCGTCTACTGATGTCAGTACGTCAACGGCTGAGTGGGAATACGAAGAAATAATGGGTCGCAATTTTTGTTGTGTGTCTCACAGTTCAGCGGTGAATAAATGTCATACAAGTTGCTTGCTGACCTACTTGACCAAGTGTGCTCCACTTGACACACTTGCCCCTTCGTCTTGATAGTGTGTTGTAAGTGTTGAAACACCCTTTACCGGATCCTCTTCACCCGGCTAACTAGGTCAACTGACTCTTGAGTTCAAGGATTTATATATATATATATTTTAATTAATATTAAGTTTCAACTTTTTTTTCTACTTCTCTGTTTAATCTTGGTCATATTTGAAAGTTTGCAGGCTTGGGGCTCAGGTGCTTGGCCCCCGCCTTTCCAACTATCGGTTTGTGTAATGACAAGAGTTGTAATCTTTGGTCCCTTTATATACGGGTGTTGGAAGTTCCGCTGTTTTACGTTAATGCTTCACTAAAATGTGTCCTATATCGTTTTCATCGACACACACCCGAGTACTTTGTATTCTTGGAACATGTCACCTCTTTCGGCTTTCTTCCAGTGTTGTAAAGTTTAGTTCCTTTAATCTATCCCCGTAGCTCGGTCCCGTCAATTCTGGGACTAGTAGTGTAGTAAGACTTTGTACTTTCTTAATGTTCATTTTGAACCTTTTGAGGTTAAGGTTAACATCCATTTAAGTCGAGACAAGTCAACAATGCCTTATCAATGTGGATTTAAATTAGTAAGTAGAAAACTGGGTATAATTTATCCATCCACTTGGACTGATCGGAACCGCAATGGGTTTATATAAACAAAATGGGGGGCCTGAGTTCGATCCCCGATGGTCTTAAGTGGTTGGGCACCATTCCTTATCCACATGTCCCTCTCTTAAGTGCTCTACAGACACAGTGTTGTCTCGTGATGTTTATCTTAAGCTTGATTCTGCAGGACTGTGAAGTGAGACCCGCTGATCCCCCCGAGCAAGGTAGCTAAACTTGGTGCAAGTTCGGCCCTTATTGTTAAGTACAAGGCCTATGTTCTACAGCCTCCGAACTTATCCGAACTTGGCGGACGACCACTATACGCCTCCCTACGGCCTGTATAATACCGAGAGAGTATTACACACACACACACTGTGTGTGTGTGTGTGTTCAACCCAGGGGCCTGGTAGCCTGGTGGATAGCGCGCAGGACTCTTAATTCTGTGGCGCGGGTTCAATTCCCGCACCAGGCAGAAACAAATGGGCGAAGTTTCTTTCACTCTGAATGCCCCTTTTACCTAGCAGTAAATAGGTACCTGGGAGTTAGTCGTCTGGTCAACCAGGCTGTTGGAGGCGGCTGCTCGCAGCCTAGCGTATGAATCATAGCCATGGTTGATCAGGTATTCTTTGGAGGTGTTTGTCGAGTTCTCTCTTGAACACTGTGAGGGGTCGGCCAGTTATGCCCCCTTGTGTGTAGCGGGAGAGTGTTGAACAGTCTCGGGCCTCTGATGTTGATAGTTCTCTCGTTCAGTACCTATTGCACCTCTGGTTTTTCAATGGGGCTATTTTGCACATCCTGCCATGCCTTCTGGTCTCATGTGATATAATCTCTGTGATCAGATTTGGAAAATTAGTCCCTCTACTGCACATCTAGTACATACACACAAGCACGCGCGCGTGCACGCGTGTGCACACACACACACACACACACACACACGGGGCCTCGCGGCTGAGTGGACATCGATCTGGGGTCGTAGTCTTAAGGGTCCGGGTTCGATCCCCTGGAGAGGTAGAAACAAATGGGCAGAGTTTCTTTCATCCTGGTGCACTTGTTCACCTAGCAGTAAATAGGTACCTGGACGTTAAACAGCTGCTACGGGCCGCTTAATTCCTGGGGATGTGCGTGCGTGTGTAAGAGAAATGTATATAGTAGACATAATAGAGGCACAATAAATTGGTTAGAAAGGCTAATAAATCTATTCTGCAGATACAAATAGTAAATACACACACACACACACACACACACACACACACACACACACACACACACACACACACACACACACACACACACACACACTCCATACACAGTTTCAAGTGTAGATATGATAGAGCCCAATAGGCTCAGGAATCTGTACACCTGTTGATTGACGGTTGAGAGGCGGGACCAAAGAGCCAGAGCTCAACCCCCGCAAACACAACTAGGTGAGTACACACACACACACACACACACACACACACACACACATGGTGGAGAAAGACTCTATACACAGCTTTAAATGTAGATATGATAGAGCCCAGTAGGCTCAGGAATCTGTACACCAGTTGATTGACAGTTGAGAGGCGGGACCAAAGAGCCAGAGCTCACACCCCGCAAGCACAACTAGGTGAGTACAACTCGATGAGTACACACACACACGCACACACAAACACCCTTATGATCTAGCCATATAATTCAATTCCTTAACAGGATTATAGCAGTATATTGAATCCTTTGATAGTTTACGCTTATAATTATCCAGCATAATGACATAATTAGTTTAACTTGCCAATTTTTGTTACATTTTCTTGCCCTTCAAAAGCTTTGACATAATATGATCATTAGCGCTAATGTACTGAAGTATGTCCAAGCCTGCAGGTATTTTATCACACGTGGATGTTATTATAAACAATCATTCAACCATATTTCGTCAGTTTTAATTTGGTTATGAATAGGCCGCCAAAACTTATTTAAATTTGCCCAGTCAAATGTTGCGTCAAAGGTCATTTACGGCTGAAAATGTGTCGAGAGTTATAATATCTGTGGTGTTATATTTCTTACCAAGAAACATTGTTAGTTACACTGTGTGGGACACCCTATCTCTTGGACACTGTTAGTTACACTGTGTGGGACACTCTATCCTTTGGACACTACTAGTTACACTGTGTGGGACACCCTATCTCTTGGACACTGTTAGTTACACTGTGTGGGACACCCTATCTCTTGGACACTGTTAGTTACACTGTGTGGGACACCCTATCTCTTGGACACTGTTAGTTACACTGTGTGGGACACCCTATCCCTTGAACACTGTTAGTTACACTGTGTGGGACACCCTATCTCTTGGACACTGTTAGTTACACTGTGTGGGACACTCTATCCCATGGACAGTGTTAATTACACTGTGTAGGACATCCTATCCCATGGACATTGTACACATCCTCGCCCAAGGTCGTCCAGTCTCTCACCAACCACTGGTATCAAGCTCACTAATTGGAAGGACGCCTCGCCTGGCCACCAGTGGAGGCGGACGTGTTGGTGGCGCCAGTTTCACCGGCTCGCGGTTGCCCGTGTTTGTTCGCGCGCTCTTGTGGGGCCCCTGAAACCGTGCTGGCCTGCGGTATGGGGGTCCCTTATGCCTCCCTGGCCTGAGGAAGGATTCGGTTAGCTTGGAGTTCTCCGAGAAGGCCACGGTCGTCGAGGTTGCAGTGTTACGGGATCGTGCGATCGGGGGTTCTGCTGAGGCGCCGCCAGGAGGGGACCTGACAGTGCCGATGAGTTGCGACCGGTTTCCAAGCGGTTGAGGTGAACTTCGACTTTGTCTCGAAGTTGTGCCTGAGTTTATGCGTCACTCGCGTCGCGTGGCTCCCCCTCTAAGGAGCAGTGGGTTCTGTGAGATGCTTACGTTCTGAAATATCCTCATTTGACGTTTCGGGATATGAGGATTACTATTTGTTTGTGCGTTGTTCAACTGTTTCTCTGCATAGATGTGATGTAGTTATGTTTTGATGTGGCGCTCTGGTGCCTTAGACTTGTGTTTCTGTGTGCGTTCGTTTGTACAGCTGTCAAAATGGAAGTAAACTTGTAAAGTGTGTGGGTCTCGTATCTCTTTTTGGCGCCTGGTTCCTTCTGAGCAGGTGTTTTTGTTTTTGTATTTGTTTTTTTTTATTTTTGTTTTGTACCCTTTGTGCGTGCTGTCTGTATTTCATTGTTTTTCCATTTCCATACTTTGTTATTGTGTTACTTTGTCCTTATGTTCTGGTCTTGTTTTTAAGTTCTACTAAAGTCTTGTATTATTTGTAAACAAAATATTGCTACCCAGAAAAATTACTTGGAAGTTTAACTGGAAATTAAACGATCTGGGTCAATTTATTGGGTTTTAGAGTATATATTATTCACACTGTGTTGATAATTTATTAATATTCAATATATAATGAGATTGATAGAGCTATATGACTGGTAGCCATTGATGTAGTCAATGGCTACCAGACAGGTGGCTATATCAATGGCTACCAGACAGGTGGCTATATCAATGGCTACCAGACAAGTGGCTATATCAATGGATGCCAGACAGATGGCTATATCAATGGCTACCAGACAGGTGGCTATATCAATGGCTACCAGACAAGTGGCTATATCAATGGATGCCCAGACAGATGGCTATATCAATGGCTACCAGACAGGTGGCTATATCAATGGCTACCAGACAGGTGGCTATATCAATGGCTACCAGACAGGTGGCTATATCAATGGCTACCAGACAGGTGGCTATATCAATGGCTGCCAGACAGGTGGCTATATCAATGGCTACCAGGCAGGTGGCTATATCAATGGCTACCAGACAGGTGGATATATCAATGGCTACCAGACAGGTGGCTATATCAATGGCTACCAGACAGGTGGCTATATCAATGGATGCCAGACAGGTGGCTATATCAATGGCTACCAGACAGGTGGCTATATCAATGGCTACCAGACAGGTGGCTATATCAATGGATGCCAGACAGGTGGTTGTCTGGGTAGAGAATAATATAGCCAGGTGTCTGGAACTTGGTAATAAGACGAAGGGAGCAGCCATGTCTCTTGTGGACACATGTGTCGCCTTCATTAATATGGCCAAGTATCTCGGCGGAGGGCGTCGTGTTAATATGTATCCAGCAGTGATTAATTCTGGCGTCTTGGGCATTAATCATCTGGTGAGAGACGCGTAATTGATATGAGGTTCCTCGTGTGTGTGTGTGTGTGTGTGTGTGTGTGTGTGTGTGTGTGTGTGTGTGTGTGTGTGTGTGTGTGTGTGTGTCCTTGGTCGTCCCGCCTTCCTTCATTGTGCTTGCTCGCTCGCTCGCTTGCTCACTCACTCACTCACTCGCTTACACTCTACTTTCTCAGAGCGTTACCATCTCAGTCTGTGCTACAATCTCGTGTTTACATCCATATTTGCTAGCATCTGCCAGGATATCTCCGACTATACAGTGGACAGTATACACAATATATACAAATACATTATACACAATACAAACGAGCCATAATAAGACAACTTTATTGAACTGAGTTTCAGTAAATCATAAGAGAATCAGGCAATATTGCAGCTCGGTGATTCTTGCAATAATATGCAATATATATATATATATATATATATATATATATATATATATATATATATATATATATATATATATATATATATATATATATGTCGTACCTAGTAGCCAGAATGCACTTCTCAGCCTACTATGCAAGGCCCGATTTGCCTGATAAGCCAAGTTTTCCTGAATTAATATATTTTTTTTAATTTTTTTATTATGAAATGATAAAGCTACCCATTTCAGTATATATGAGGTGAATTTGTTTTATTGGAGTTAAAATTAACGTATATATATGACCGAACCTAACTAACCCTACCTAACCTAACCTAACCTCTCTTTATAGGTTAGGTTAGGTTATGTAGCCGAAAAAGTTAGGTTAGGTTAGGTAGGTTAGGTCGTCGAAAAAACATTAATTCATGAAAACTTGGCTTATTAGGCAAATCGGGCTTTGCATAGTAGGCTGAGAAGTGCATTCTGGCTACTAGGTACGACATATATATATATATTATATATATATATATATATATATATATATATATATATATATATATATATATATATATATATATATATATATATATATATATATATATGTATATATATATATATGTATATATATATATATATATATGTATATATATATATATATATATATATATATATATATATATATATATATATATATATATATATATATATATATATATATATATATATACAGTTTGCCACATTGTCACCTTAGTGATATCTGGATCATGTACCAAGGAACAGATTTTGCAGCTGGAGAATAGAATATATGTCTGCTTGTCCAAAGTTGGAGCTCAGATACTTTGGGCTAGCTTCATTAAACTTTACAGGATGACCCTCGGGGGGTTAAGGGATTCATAGGCGTGTCGTTGGGTCGGTTTATTGACCGGCTAGCAAGTATATTTTACTCCTGAACATAGTCCAGGACTAAAGTATACTCTGGGTGTACACAGAGAAGCTAGGTACACATCTCAGTGTATATTACCCCCCCCCCCCTTGATCCTCGCCGTTTTCACTAATTTACATATTTTAAAAAGTCGTAATAGTATAAAAAACATATATAGTATAAAAAAAGTCGTAATTTAAGACTGCAAATATGTGCAATCACCCTGAATTCCGCTCAAAATAACACTCAGGAGTCATATTTTCGAACTCACTCAGACGGATACTACTTTGCTTTATTCCTGTGTTCGAATTGCTAATATTTAAACACTCAGTTCTCGTCAACAAAGGCAAAATGCTCACTAATCTAGCATGCAAACCCTCTGTTTGTGAATGAAAAATGGTTTATTCATGACTTACAACCCCTTGACATTCGAACATTTATCGAATTGCTTCACTAACGACCTCTGTTCGAATCGTAACTCTCTCAATGCTTCACCCACGTACTACAAATATCAGCCCGTCCCCCAAACAAAGACCCCAAAGTGATTCCATGTATCCGCCAAACCCCCTGTTTATGAATGAAAAACGGTTTACACACAACTCACAACTGATTTCGTTCGAACACTTCCGGAACAAGTGCTTCACTAACGAATTTTGTTCGAACCACAACGCTGTAAATGCTTCACCCACGTACTACAAATACAAATAATCGCCAACAGACTCTAAACACCTAACCTAACCAATGCCTACATATGCACAAAATGCCAATATATTAAAATATTAATTTATATTTGAGAAAATTCTCGTTTTGAATGGACAGCATGTTAAAATTTATGAATGCGTCTGTGGGGTCGACCGCTGGATGGAATGGACTTGAGTCGAGGACGGGTTGCCAAATATAAATAAATGGAGGAGCAACCATCGAGTGGAGGAACTTAGCCTTAACCATCGCCGCCAAGAACATCAGATGTGACTAAGAAGCAACAGTCAATCTCTGTCAATCAATCTATGTCAATCAATCTGTTAATCTGTTCTCCCATACCTAATATATGTCACGTTTTTTTTTATGAAAGCCATCAAGTACGGTTAAAATTGCGACGTATTAGTAGCAATTAAAACACGGCAACACTGCCGTTTTCTTTGCCTCAGCCTCTGTTAATTCAAGTCCACTACGGGCTCACCATAGCCCGTGCTACTTAAAACTTTATGTTCCAAGTAGCTGAATCTATAACAACAACAACAACTCTGCTAATTTAGTAGGCTGCTTGGGTTCCCATGTTTTTAGCTATGCACAACTGTTGCATTTTTTTTGTTTTGTTTTGTCCAGTTCTTATGAAATACAGCGGAGTATTCTGAATTCTTCTCCAGGTGTATACATACACGATTTCCATACATAACTTCATACATAAGTAGCCACTATTACTCCCTGATCACTTTCTTCATCAACTTTCATTCATTCTCAACTGTTCATTCCATTTGCCTCCCAAATAATCTTGGCGTTCAGCCTAACCCGAAATTTTGAGGTTGTAGGCGACTGCATATGAAATGCGCTAAGTGTGAGGACAGGTAGTGAACACGAACGTATTGAATGTTTGAACAAAAGTTTAATGTAGAATGAATCCAAAATAATGAGACAGTTTTTAGAAATCATTAAATGTGAATATACTGAAGAGAATATTTAATTGTAAATTAAAGTGTAAAATGATATGACACCACACTTTAGCACTGTCCTCTTTAGACCATCAGGGGATCGAACCCAGGCCTTGCAAGAAACAAGGCCGTCATTGTACCGACCAAGTCCAAGCGGATGGCCTTGAATGACTGATCTCGTAAGCACCTCAAGGTATCCATGCTCTCACCTGACAGCTATTAATCATTACTCCCAAGACGTCATAAGCTACTTAACTCCACGAGAGTGGATTCCTAAATCTGAGAAAGAGGATCAAGTTTTTCCTTCCTCAAATTCGCCTTCAGTCGTGGAAGCTCCTTGTGTCGACAACTGCATTCCAGACTTACTAAAGTTCATTGCCACAGTCAGACATTTTTGTTGCGGAGGGGGCGGGTTAAGCGCCAGTAGAGAGAGAGAGAGAGAGAGAGAGCCAGTAGGAGTAGAGAGAGAAAGAGAGAGAGAGAGAGAGAGAGCCAGTAGAGAGAGAGAGAGAGAGAGAGAGAGAGAGAGAGAGAGAGAGAGAGAGAGAGAGAGAGAGAGAGAGAGAGAGAGAGAGAGAGAGAGAGAGAGAGTAGGAGTAGGAGTAGAGAGAGAGAGAGAGAGAGAGAGAGAGACCTCTACCTCAGCTCTCTCGTATTCAGCAAAATCATTTAAAATGTTGTCAATCATTCACGTTTTCAGTTTTAAAGCATCATGGTTGAGTATCTTAAATGTGATATACAGAGATACTATTAAATATTTCTCATCTCTTAATAAATTTAGATAATTGACACATTATTTCCTCACTTGAGGAGGATACCCTGTGATGCCCGGGTCTTTTTCTATCTCTCTCGCCCCTTACCCTCCATCTCTCCCTTCTCTGCTCCCTCCCTCTCTCACCTCTTCATCTCCGTCTCTTTCCTTCCATCTATCTCAGTCTCACCCCTCTCACCCCTCTCACCCCCTCTCTCTCAGAACATGTATTTCCAGCTAACATTCAACGTAGCCACAATGTTATTATTGCAAATGTTATTTTTTATGAAACTTAGTAACAACGCACGAACAAAAATAATTGTAGTTACGTTAATACGTAAGTTGGAATATTACAAAAAGTTGAAAAGTCTATGGAAAAACGAACTGCCAATTTCAGACTTCATAAGCGCTGCTAAGATTAGGAGTAGGAGCTCATCTTACGTTGACCGGTCTTTGGAAGTTTCATACCAAAATGACACCCATGTGGCTGAGGGAGCCGGTGGCTGAGCGGACAGAACACTGGACGCGTGATCCTGTGGTCCCGGGTTCGTTCCCGGGCGCCGGCGAGAAACTATGACAAGAGTTTCTTTCACCCTGATGCCCCTGTTACCTAGCAGTAAAATAGGTACCTGGGTGTTAGTCAACTGTCACGGGCTGCTTCCTGGGGGTGGAGGTCTGGTCGAGGACCGGGCAGCGAGGACACTAAAGCCCCGAAATCATCTCAAGATATCTCAAGATATCCACCCTGATGCCCCTGTTACCTAGCAGTAAAATAGGTACCTGGGTGTTAGTCAACTGTCACGGGCTGCTTCCTGGGGGTGGAGGTCTGGTCGAGGACCGGGCAGCGGGGACACTAAAGCCCCGAAATCATCTCAAGATAACCTCAAGATGTGTCATCTTGAAAAGTGGGTGAGGTTAGCTGCAAACATCTGGCCTCTAACTTTGGATAGACATTTCCTTTTATAGATATAGATATCAGAAAAAAGTAAATAAAGACAATAGTGACTGTTTAACATCCCAAGGAGACAGAAGCACAATGTTCAAGACATATGAGATTGATTTAAAAAAACATTATTGCGAAGGATATACATTGTTTAGAACCGAATGACTTACAATGACATAACAGATGAACATTGAAATTAAAATCGCCATTAACGTGATAAAAATAAAGCATGTATAGCCAGCAGGGATTATACAGGAATATACATACATATACGTGAGGATACCAGACACTGTCAAGGATGTACTGTTCCAAAGAGTACAAGAATACATAGATGGCTTGTTGACAAGCCGCTGGAACACCCTGTTGAAGTCCCGGATCCCCATTATGAACTGTGGGGGATTGGAATGTGTTGAGACCAAACTAATCCCCGAAGCTGCTGATAATACGGACCTCATTTCCATATACATATCCTACTACTATATTCTATGCCACATGTTCCTGTTATTTCATAACCTTATACATACTTATAGATAACATACATGTAGATTATACTCTATTTGTTTGATTGTGATTTGTTTAATTTGATTTGTGACAGCTTAAAATGGTGTTTTTCAGTGTCCTAGAGTTTGTTCACTACTGTACACCTGTCCTAGAGTTTGTTCATTATTGTACACCTGTCCTAGAGTTTGTTCATTATTGTACACCTGTCCTAGAGTTTGTTCACTACTGTACACCTGTCCTAGAGTTTGTTCACTCCTGTACACCTGTCCTAGAGTTTGTTCACTACTGTACACCTGTCCTAGAGTTTGTTCACTCCTGTACACCTGTCCAAGAGTTTGTTCACTACTGTACACCTGTCCTAGAGTTTGTTCACTACTCTACACCTGTCCTAGAGTTTGTTCACTCCTGTACACCTGTCCTAGAGTTTGTTCATTATTGTACACCTGTCCTAGAGTTTGTTCATTATTGTACACCTGTCCTAGAGTTTGTTCATTATTGTACACCTGTCCTAGAGTTTGTTCATTATTGTACACCTGTCCTAGAGTTTGTTCATTATTGTACACCTGTCCTAGAGTTTGTTCATTATTGTACACCTGTCCTAGAGTTTGTTCATTATTGTACACCTGTCCTAGAGTTTGTTCATTATTGTACACCTGTCCTAGAGTTTGTTCATTATTGTACACCTGTCCTAGAGTTTGTTCATTATTGTACACCTGTCCTAGAGTTTGTTCATTATTGTACACCTGTCCTAGAGTTTGTTCATTATTGTACACCTGTTCTAGAGTTTGTTCATTATTGTACACCTGTTCTAGAGTTTGTTCACTACTGTACACCTGTCCTAGAGTTTGTTCACTCCTGTACACCTGTCCTAGAGTTTGTTCACTCCTGTACACCTGTCTTGGAGTTTGCTCACTGCTGTACACCTGTCCTAGAGTTTGTTCATTATTGTATACCTGTCCTAGAGTTTGTTCATTATTGTACACCTGTCCTAGAGTTTGTTCATTATTGTATACCTGTCCTAGAGTTTGTTCATTATTGTATACCTGTCCTAGAGTTTGTTCATTATTGTACACCTGTTCTAGAGTTTGTTCATTATTGTACACCTGTTCTAGAGTTTGTTCATTATTGTACACCTGTTCTAGAGTTTGTTCACTACTGTACACCTGTCCTAGAGTTTGTTCACTCCTGTACACCTGTCTTGGAGTTTGCTCACTGCTGTACACCTGTCCTAGAGTTTGTTCACCACTGTACACCTGTCCTAGAGTTTGTTCACCACTGTACACCTGTCCTAGAGTTTGCTCACTGCTGTACACCTGTCCTAGAGTTTGCTCACTGCTGTACACCTGTCCTAGAGTTTGTTCACCACTGTACACCTGTCCTAGAGTTTGTTCACTACTGTACACCTGTCCTAGAGTTTGTTCACTCCTGTACACCTGTCCTAGAGTTTGCTCACTGCTGTACACCTGTCCTAGAGTTTGTTCACTACTGTACACCTGTCCTAGAGTTTGCTCACTGCTGTACACCTGTCCTAGAGTTTCTTCACCACTGTACACCTGTCCTAGAGTTTGTTCACTACTGTACACCTGTCCTAGAGTTTCTTCACCACTGTACACCTGTCCTAGAGTTTATTCACCACTGTACACCTGTAATAGAGTTTGTTCACCACTGTACACCTGTAATAGAGTTTGTTCACCACTGTACACCTGTAATAGAGTTTGTTCATCACTGTACACCTGTAATAGAGTTTGTTCACCACTGTACACCTGTCCTAGAGTTTGTTCACCACTGTACACCTGTAATAGAGTTTGTTCACCACTGTACACCTGTAATAGAGTTTGTTCACCACTGTACACCTGTAATAGAGTTTGTTCACCACTGTACACCTGTAATAGAGTTTGTTCACTACTGTACACCTGTAATAGAGTTTGTTCACTACTGTACACCTGTCCTAGAGTTTGTTCACCACTGTACACCTGTCCTAGAGTTTGTTCACTACTGTACACCTGCCCTAGAGTTTGTTCACCACTGTACACCTGTAATAGAGTTTGTTCACCACTGTACACCTGCCCTAGAGTTTGTTCACCACTGTACACCTGTCCTGGAGTTTGTTCAACACTGTACACCTGTAATAGAGTTTGTTCACCACTGTACACCTGTAATAGAGTTTGTTCACCACTGTTCAGTAGGTGATCCAGCCATAACTCCAACTGATTGTATAAACTCGTAACATAGACCGGTCACCAATCCTAATTAGGGTTACCTTTGCCTTCAAGAAAGATAAATTTAGAATGAGTTAATGTATTTTCTCCTGATTGTATAATACAACCATTCATGCAGTAGCATTTAATTACGTCCTGGTTGGATTTGTTATAATGTCGTAATTGGCATTACCATTTTGTGATATATGGTATTAAAATGAGCGGTATAATTATTTGTTGATATATAGTTATTATAATTTTGTGTATATGGACAAAAATGTAATTTTGTAAACAAAGCCATTTAAATTACAAAATAAAAAAGGTCCCCATTAAAAAGGGCCCCCACCCCTACCATAGTGTGGCCCTACCCCTACCATAGTGTCACCCAACCCCCTACCATAGTGTGGCCCTACCCCTACCATAGTGTGGCCCTACCCCTACCATAGTGTGGCCCTACCCCTACCATAGTGTCACCCAACCCCCTACCATAGTGTCACCCCCCTACCATAGTGTCACCCCACCCCCTACCATAGTGTCACCCCACCCCCTACCATAGTGTCACCCCACCCCCTACCATAGTGTCACTCACCCCCTACCATAGTGTCACACCCCCTACCATAGTGTCACCCCCCTACCATAGTGTCACCCCACCCCCTACCATAGTGTCACCCCCTACCATAGTGTCACCCCACCCCCTACCATAGTGTCACCCCCTACCATAGTGTCACCCCCCAACCATAGTGTCACTCCACCCCCTACCATAGTGTCACCCCACCCCCTACCATAGTGTCACCCCACCCCCTACCATAGTGTCACTCCACCCCCTACCATAGTGTCACTCCACCCCCTACCATAGTGTCACCCCCACCCCCTACCATAGTGTCACCCCACCCCCTATCATAGTGTCACCCCCCTACCATAGTGTCACCCCCTACCATAGTGTCACTCCACCCCCTACCATAGTGTCACCCCACCCCCTACCATAGTGTCACCCCACCCCTACCATAGTGTCACCCCCCTACCATAGTGTCACCTCACCCCCTACCATAGTCACCCCACCCCTTACCATAGGGTCACCCCACCCCCTACCATAGTGTCACTCCACCCCCTACCATAGTGTCACCCCACCCCCTACCATAGTGTCACCCCACCCTCTACCATAGTGTCACCCCACCCCCTACCATAGTGTCACCCCACCCCCTACCATAGTGTCACTCCCCAACCATAGTGTCACCCCACACCCCTACTATAGTGTCACCCCACCCCCTACCATAGTGTCACCCCACCCCCTACCATAGTGTCACCCCCACCCCCTACCATAGTGTCACCCCACCCCTTTCCATAGTGTCACCCCTCTACCATAGTGTCATCCCACCCCCTACCATAGTGTCTCCCCACCCCCTACCATAGTGTCACCTCACCCCC